AAAGGGAAGCAGGTAGTCATAGTACATATGCCTTCCTCCCATTCCTATTTGATTCTCCACTCATGTTCTCTTAATACATATGTATATGTGCATATATAGGTAATTGAAAAACATGTTGCATTCTTTGCAACATTTCTTATAACAGTGGTAAGAGTAAATGTGCTTCTGCAATCATCAGAATTAAGAGTATAGTATGTTTTTATTATCCCTGTGTTATAAGGCCTGCGTTACAGCTGTAAGGTGTTGCCCTTATGTGGCTGGTGGTTTTTTGCATCATGCCTTTCAAAGATAGATACAATCACCTCAGCTATGTATTTAGAAACCATGTACAGTGACTGAATCAGTCATTTATGCTGCTTTATTTCTAGGAGTCATTTTAGGATGTTCTGCTTTATTTGATTTCAGTCACACCATTCTTTCAATGTTTCAAGACATTATAGAAAACCAAAGTTTAGCTCATGAAGGAAAAAATGCTCGACTCAACAGCCCCTGGATGATCAGTGTAAAAAACTGTTAATGAGATAAACATGATTTTGGCCTCTGTAACACTTTATCTCTTGTTTAAGCAAATCCCACAAATAAATAGAGAAGGTGTAGGGTTTTGACAAGCAAATGTCAGTGATCATCAAGTGTAAGATGTGTTTTTACACAAATCAGATGGTTTCCTGTAAGCTACTGCTTCTTATGTGCTTTAGGAGTAATCAAAATGCTATAATTTCACTGCTCACCGTAGTTTTGCCGGTATTTCTGTGTGAGGGAGTTTTTAAAAGCTGTATGATGCACACTAGACATATATTTTACAGCTCAACTGGACTCTGAGAAAGCAAAATGCCATATATGGACTAAAGCCTAGATATTGTGTGAGCCTGCTGGCTGTGCTCCTGGGGTGGGTATGGGCACACACCGACCAGTGGGAGAGCCATGGGCTCGCTGTGCAGCTCCTACCCCAGAGCAGTGGGTTATTTTTTTCCTGTAGCTCCTATTTCTCCTCACTCCCTAGGGGAAAACAGCCAGTGGATCCAGGGACACATGGCCTCACTCATCCCACCTCCCGTGGATGGTCCTGTAGCGTCTCCATGGAGTACAGCTCTGTGACATGCAGCCAGCACAAGCTGCCATCTCCAACAGAGTGTCACAGTTTCACCACCATAAGGCTTCTCCTGTGCTGCGGAGATATGGCAGGATTGTACCTTTCCTCTGTGTTAGCTCAAGTGTTTTGCAGAGCAGGGACTTACTTGGTGAAGATGGGTTCCTGCTTCAAAAAGAAAAAAACTGCTGTAAAAATGAAAATCTTACTGGTCTGTAAATGAAAAGTTTAAATACAAAACTAAACAAAACAGAAAGTAGATGCTTCACAAATGGAGCCAAAGTCTTGAAAATGGACTTGCATAAGCCTTTGGCTTGGGACAGACTGTAAACCTAAGTACTCATAATCTACTTTTAATTGAAATTTTGATTTGCTGTTCTGCTAAATTTGAGCAATCCCTGAATCCTGTATTAGCCTATATTGTACAGAAAGGACTGTAATGTCATTGTTTTAGTATTACTTAAAACAGTATGGATCACTGAGCAATTGCATGTCAGTTTTGTCCTGAAGCCTGCAGGCTGTAGGCTCTTGAGACTTCTCCCTAGGTGCAGAAATATAAGTACTTTCCATACCATTCTGGCACAGGTGAATTCCTGCAGGTCATATGGTAAGTGCTGATACATTTTGCATTGCCACATCCCACCAGAATTTGAGGAGGAAGGCTCCAGACCAGATACTGCAGTCAGGAGTATGAGCAGAGCACAGTGAGCAGACACTTGGATATTCAGCTTTTAAAGTGCCTGTGCTGCTGTGGATCTGTGCAGATAGGCTCTGCAGCACCATAATGTGCTGCAGAACATTCTGGAAAACCATTGGTGAACCCTGCATTTGTGAACCCCACCTTCTAGAAAAACACTTGGGTTTAATTTCTGTTTATGACTGCATCTCATTTTGCTTCTATGAATTTATTATATCATCGGTCCATATATGCATTTGAAACAGGAGGAATAGTCTTCTGAAATCACTAGATGTAAACGGTAGCGTTTGAGGGATAAACTAACCTGGAGAGTCTGAAGAAGCACACAAGCAAACAGACATGTATGCTGTGGTTCCAAATCCTGTGCTTTCATCTGCTAAGAAAGCTGAAGGAGTTCTCCTGCTCAGAAGACTTTAAACAACACACTGAATGATAAGGGTAGATGTCTGTTTGTTCAGCTTTCTTTTAAGTAGGTACATCAAAATAGAGGAAACGTGTTCCAGAACTTACTTTTCGCAGATAGGAGTGAGCGCTCTCTATGTATATTTCTGTTATCCAATGAATATTGATATCAAGAACAGTGAACACAGGAAAGTTTTTCTTTAAATTTTATTTAGACAAGTAGTGATATTTGACTAACCAATGACAGGATAGTTTGTCTAGGAAATATTTAATAAGATGGAAAAAGGAAAGTTGATGTGTTTCTGTTACTGGAATGAAAAATACACTTTTGCAAAGAGTTGATGATAAAGTATTTCCGTTTACTTTTTCTGTCAGGCTTCTTAATTGTCAAAGCATTATTAAAAAAGTCATTTCATTACTTCTAGTATTTATTAAAATGTTGTTGATATTCTGGGCAACTTCTATTTTGTGATGCGTTTCACTACCCGTAGGGCCAAATTTCCAACTGCACATCTTTCCCTCCCAGAGCCAGTTTTTCTGCAGTTCCTTTGCCTCCCTGCAGGCACCTGCACAAGTCCCCAAGGTGCTGAGCTCCCCTGAAAACCTGGCAACATAGAAAAGTGACTTGGTGGGGATGTCCTTTGAATCTGCGGGTATGGAGTTGTGCTGAGACCCTGCCTGTGGTGACTAGATGTGCCTTGGTAGTGTCATTTACAGCCTAGTGGCATGAAATCGAAGCTCCCTGAATTGTGGAATAGAATCATAGCATATCTCAAGCTGTAAGGGACTCGTAAGTTGGACTCAAGTCCAACTCCCTGCTTCTCACAGGACCACCTCTTGGTGTACATCTGAAAAGGGTGAGCGGTGCCCACTGCACATTGTTGTCAGCATCCTCCTGATTTCCTGCCTCTGCTCTAAAATCATCCCCTGCACACCCTACAGATGGGTGCAATCAGCCCTTTTCTAGTG